TACCACCAGATACACTCCATTACACAATAAGTGTAGAAACAAATAATAGCGTGCACTGAAATATAAATCCAGGTAGCCGTTAACACTGTTAAATTATATACATAAATAATCAAAGAAAGATAAATACAGTGTTCGAATAAAGGACATAATAATACATCGTGTAGCATAGCTCGCAGCGAATTTAGTCCTGTAAATAAATTAAGAAATTGCGTAATAAAATGCCTCTGTCGGGACTCGAACCTGCGACCTCTCGCTGTCAAGGCGAGCGTCATAACCATTAGACCACGGAGGCTTCATGGTTAAACAGATTCAAATACCACCAGATACACTCCATTACACAATAAGTACGGCTAGAAACAAATAATAGCATACACTGAAATATAAATCAAGGTAGTCGTTAACACTGTTAAATTATATATACCCGGTATATACACGTACTCTAATCAGGGCAATGCAACCAATGCGTTAAAAAAATTCGCCATCCTATGCATCAAAGAACCCAACACAATAAACAAAAGAAACGAACTCATCACAAGTGCCGTCACAACAAATCTAAATATGAAAGGGAAGGAAACAGGTGACAAATGTGTATAACAACAAGAAACAATCTTAGGCTGTGACCTGTCAGGCCTATATATAAATCATCAAAGAACGGTAAATACAGTATTCGAATAAAGAACATAATGGTAGATCGTGTAGCAGTGCTCAAATAAGAATATTTTGTAATAATTGACCAAGCATAGCTCATCAACGAATTTCTTTTATTGCAGTTGTATAGTTTCTCTGGTGGGATTCGAACATGTAACCTCCCACTGTTAAGGCGAGTTATCATATCCAACCACAGAGTTAGAGGATATACGTGTAGTTCTAACCCCCAGACACTTTCTACTATACAAACAGTGAAGAAAAGCTCACACATAGATGAGCAAAAACTTGTATATTTGTTTTAGTATCCAGTGATACATATTTGTCATAATCTTTATATTTAGTTAACATTGTACATGTCCCGGGGACAATGTATACATATCTCATAGCTTCTCTCGTTTTATTTGATACAAGAAATATTTAAGCCTTGGCCTATATTGTAAATTCACTTCTTTGATTATTGTTGGTATATAATCAAGTTTTGGTATATAATGCAAGTTTTCTATACTTGGGCCAGACGTACAGGGCGGCCTTCCGTTGCTAGTCGGTTGCTAGGTATATCCAGACGCACACGGCGCCCTTCTTTCTCCACTAAGTCCACTAATAGAGTTCTTGGAACTCTATCCACTAATAACGTTTGTCTATTTTATTAATATAATGACTGAGAAGAACTGCCTTTCTTGTCAAAAAGGTTGCTCTTTACTTTAGGCCTACAGAAAATCAGTTTATATATTGCAGCCAATTGGCCTATACTATTTTAAAATTGAACACAGACTAATTTCTTCCTTTGATCTCAAACCTTTGCATTTTTATAGATACATTGACGATATTTTTTTCATTTGGCCTCACGGTTTTGAAAACCTTACTAAATTCGTCACTCACTGTAACAACTTTCACCCCACTATCAAATTTACTATGGAACACTCTAACACGTCTATCCCCTTTCTTGATGTTAATGTTTCCATTTCAGGCAACAATATCTCCACATCTAGCCAATTGGCCTATACTATTTTAAAATTTATAAATAATAATAATCAAATTAATAATACACGATTTGTATAGGGCTCGCTCGTATTCAATTTTAAAATTAAAGAACGACAATCTAGATACCCTATTAACGGATCATTGAAATCGGTAAAGCTGGCCACGGCTAAAAGTAACTTTGAAACTGGCTGTTCAATTTTGGGCTGCCAGCACTGATTTTGATAAGGCAGGCAGAAAAAAAGACGATACGATCACAAGGGTTGTAGTCTGGCAGCTTAGTGCCATATTTTGACTTAATGTGGACGTTCCGGACAAAAGCACCAATTTTTTTTTACATGTTCTTTATGGTCATAGAATTAAATTTTTGGTAGGAACCACCTCATCTAAGGTCATTATGGCCGCCATCTTGGATTTCAAAATGACCGCCTTAAAAAACCTATGTTTATCTATATTTCCGCTTCTAAACCACTTGGAATTATAATTCCGACACCTGAAAATATGTTTATATGGGCAAGGAATACTATTATACCATTCTTGACCTGGCCAGATTGCCACAAATAGGTCATTAAAGGTCATTCAAAGTCAAATATTTTATGTCTTCTTTAAAAATACGTAATTGTCATGACATCAGAATCATACCCAGGGTCTCAGAATTCAAAATTTTACAGTGATTCTCTGCAAGGCCATTCTGGCGGCCATTTTGAATTTCAAAATGGCTGCCACGCAAAACCTATATTTATCAATATATCAGCCTTTAAACCATTTCCAATATATGAATTATGATGTCTAAAATTATATTTTCATGGTCAAGTATTTATACCACTTGTGACATGGTAGGATGGTCAAAGGTCATAAAAAGGTCATTAAAGTGTCATTTAAGGTCATTCATTGTCATTTTTCTGTTAAATATGTAGGATATCTTAATTCGTAAGTGGTCGTGTAGAGCAAAATCATACTTAAGCTAACAGAATGCTGTTTTTGATCAGAAGTATTACATCAGAGGTCATTATGATAGCCATTTAAGGTCATTTGATTTTATATTAGGTCAAGGTCATTTAGCAGGTCAAGGTCATATATTGAATTTCAAAATGTCCACCATGTAAAAACATATATGTTTTATTTTTATAAACTATGCTTACTGCATAGTCAAATAATACCATTAGAAGTTGTGACATTGTTAGGTGATTATGGTAAAAATAAGTCACTAAGGTCAATATCATAACAAGTCATCTAAGGTTTATGCTAATAATATATCTTCTTGGATTGATATTTAACAATCAGAACAGTGGGCAAGATACTATGATATACATGTCTTATTATATATCTATATATATATTATATATATATATATATATATATATAACATAAATCAAGGTAGCCGTTTACACTGTTAAATCATATATAAATCATCAAAGAAAGGTAAATACAGTGTT